TGAATACCAGATATAAACAATACTATTGTAAAGCAAGCTAGTAAAAGTAATAATATAATACCAGATATAAACAATACTATTGTAAAGCAAGCTAGTAAAAGTAATAATATAATACCAGATATAAACAATACTATTCTAAAGCAAGCTAGTATAGCAAAGAAATAAGGCTTGTGTTACTGAACAAATGAAATTCCTTCTGTATAAATATTTATATCCGGGAAATGCATTAATTTTTAATTTTGATAGAGGAATTAGTGATACTGTACCAAAATAAGTAAAGAAAAATTTTTGTGTTAAATTAAAAACATTTTAAAAAATTTTAATTTCTTATGTTTAACAATCATGTATGGTTTACATGTTTCTTGTACAGTTTCGATAAGAGCCTGCAACACGGCTTATTTATTTATTAAGTGCTTTGAAACATGAAAATTTGAATAGTGACTTTACAAATGTTTTGTAATTTTATGATTCGGATTCCATTATAACTTAGGTAACTGTTTTCTTTCCTCTATAACACTGATGTTTGTGACACGTTTTACAGGACATATTAGTGTCACCTTCTAGAATTATTTATTTAAGGTTGTCAGGCTAGGTCACTACAGAATATTTCCCTCACCATCATATATAATGGTGGACAAAAACTGAATACCACTACCAACCATTATCTTGACCTTTTGTGGTCATAAGTCAACTGTTAATGGTGTTTCTCCACCTACCTTTCTTCCCTCATTAGAACCACACTCTCCGTGGCTATCTTCTTCACATGAGATATGTCCCTTCAGGATCTCTTCAGTGGGTGCACAGATCTTTTCGTTAAGTAATGATAGAGGCTTAGTTGTGTCCGATGCTAAAGGGCCCGGCATGGCCAGGTGAATAGGGCGCTCGACTCGCAATCTGTGGGGTCGCGGGTTTGAATTCCCGTCACACCAAACATGCTCGCCCTTTCAGCCGTGGGGGCGTTATAATGTGACGGTCAATCCCACTGTTCGTTGGTAAAAGAGTAGCCCAAAAGTTGGCGGTGGGTGGTGATTATTAGCTGCCTTCCCTCTAGTCTTACACTGCTGAATTAGGGACTGCTAGCGTAGATAGCCCTCGTGTAGCTTTGCGCGAAATTCGAACCAAACCGATGCTAAAGAGCCACGTGACTGATAGAAAGAAAAAAAAACGTTTTATCGACGATTTATTTTGGTCTACTCCGAACAATGTCCATCAACACTACTTTTACCCATCCACACAGTTAACAGTTAAAGTATTCCCGTTTTCATAAATCTACTCGTTGTGAACGCATTAGTTAGCATATTGCCGCTAGGTGGAAGTTATTGTTTCTTGTTGTTGGTTTCTTCGTGGGTTATCTGCATTCTGTCCACCGAAGGGAATCGAACCCCGGTTTTTAGCGTTGTGGAGTCCATCATTGAAGTTCTAATAATTCAGGTCCACCACGGGAATCGAACCCCGGTTTTTAGCGTTGCGGAGTCCATAAATGAAGCTCTAATAATTCAGGTCCACCATGGGAATCGAATCCCAGTTCTTAGCGTTGTGGAGTCCACCATTGAAGTTCTAATAATTCAAGTCCACCACGGGAATCGAACCCCGGTTCTTATCGTTGTGGAGTCCATCATTGAAGTTCTAATAATTCAAGTCCACCACGGGGATCGAGCCACAGATCTTAGCGATTTAGCGTCCACCACTGAAGTTCTAATTCAGGACGGATACACAGTTATGTCTAAAATTAATTGAGCTTTTCTTCTACTCCTTTTGCTTCTCACGCTCTCACTTTTCTAAGGTCGTTAGTAGATGTGTGACAGTAATTTAAAACAGAAAGCATATTTATTTTGTTTCCTGTTGAAAATTATACAAATTTTCTATATTTAAAATTTATAATTTTTAAAGTGTTCTGAGCTGTCTGTTTTTTTTTCAATCCCCTTTTCTTGAATATCTAGGTCTATATTTATAATAGTATTTGAACGCTGGTTTATAAAAACAGAAATTTACGATATTAATTAGACTTGTCATCCTAATCTTATCATATTTTTATCACTACATTTTGTATCTAGTTCTTTAGGGATTTTTAAGAATTAGAAAAATGTATAGTATTAGTGTTCCAACCACAATATGTTCACCATATTCATTGCCAATGACGCGTTTTGCTCAATCCAGAGCTCATCAGACCGGCTGGGATACAACAAACACAGTAGTGGTCAGAACACCATTTATATATAATTCATTTGTTACAACAACGACAATTGTAAAGGAGTGAACGGAAAAGCGTTCACACCATAAGAAATGTGAGATATTATTTTACTGATATATTCACCCTGAACTATATTTATTTCATATTTCAATATTTTACACAGAAACAAAAAAGATCAGAGAAATAATGGCGTTACATAAAAATATTTTCGTAACACTTGAAACTAGTACTCTAAAAATGCATCAACAATCAGAATTACACAATAATCATGACTGAAATTTGTGGTTCGAAACCCAAAATTACACGTAACATAACAATATTCTAACAAATCATTTTCATATCATCACAATTTTAGTCGATTTAACCTTTAAAAACAAAGGGTTTTTTGGCTCTTAACCCTAATTCTCTTGTCATTCACTCTTCAGGTAGGAGACCGTCTGACGAATCCTGATGTCTGACTTCCAATGGCTCTAAACATGACAAAAGAAAATTTGCAAAACAGTTTGAGTTCATTGAAACTTACCAATATATATTCCTCAAATGTGAAGTTGTCGTTAATTTTCAGGATAACTGTTATAGATTACATGACATTTTAACAATCAAAGATCGTTTCCATAAAAATATTTTGGTTCAAGATTAGGGATTATATTATAAATATATATATATTTTTTTTTTACAGAATGCACACGTTATGCTTCAACAGTACTTGTACCTTACACCAGTTAAGATTTAAAACGACACAAAAGAATAGTCTTAATGGCATTATTAATCATCTTAATTGTTGTAGTAAATTCCATAATTTTTGTGGCTGAACGTATTGTTCGTTTTTTCTTTGTTGAACGCATTGTTGGGTTTGTTCTGTTGTGAAATGCGAAGATACACACTCAGCTATATGAGTGGTACCCGTCGCAGGGATAAAACCTTTATTTTAAGCTTATAAGCCCTCAGTCTTACCGCTCAACCATTGGACTAAATGTAGTACTGTAAATAAAAGAAACGTCAAAGAACAATGATGTTGGCTGCTAATGATGTTGACTGCTTGCCCTCGCATAAAAATATAGCAACCTTGTGTGCGTGTACATTTGTCTATCAGCCAAATCTAAAAAAAATATTGCTCATTGTTTCTGCGAGATCTTTAATCTCTGTAAATACGTAAATAATGGCGCAAACATGATAAGTTAATATCACTGTAGTTAGAGAGAGAGAGAGGTAACCTGATAATGATAGTTTCAAATAGAATGTGTTATATAAGGCTAATTACATTTTACTTCTACGAGATGATATTCGCAAATTATATTTAATAAGTAAGAGTCCACATGAATGGACCTATTATCATTATAGCACGAAGAGCCAGCCTCGTTTACGTTTCTGCTGTTTAGAGAGTACGCAATACGAACCTGGTGATTTACTGAAAAAAAAAAAAGACACTGTGGACATGCTTTGCAAATGAGGTCACTGATATAAACACAGCTTCAAAGAGTATCGGGTTACATTGCTGTGATTATTGGTGTTTATGCTACTTCACGAATCGATCTGAAGATTTTATTTATTCTACCCTCAACAAAACTACATTATTTAATGTGTATCATCCTACTCAAGTTTAGTGGAACAGTTTGTTTGGAGTTAAGCACAAAGCTGCACAATGGGCTATCTGCCCACAACGGGTATCGAACCCGTCTTTCTAGCGTTGCAAGTCCGCAGACATGCCCCTGTGTGCCACTGGAAAGCTAGTGAAACACGCGAATTAATATATCATATTTATGCATAGGCGCCTAACACGCGTAGAGCAGGAGGAAGTAAATGCCCCCTTCCCCATTATTATTATTAACAATTATGTTAGATTGACTTTGCTTTTTTTTTTTTTTGCCTTCTCCTTTCCAAGAAAGTTAGGCAGTCATGAAGATATGTGTTCTTGACGAAAGGTGCTTACTTGGAGGTGACCAGTCTAAAATGTAATCTAATTCTAATTTCAACCACTAGGTTCATTTTAATGTTCTTGAAGGGACCGTGTCAGAAAATGTGAATAAAATAATGTTTAAGACCTAACTGTTATTTGTAGTTTAGGTCCTGGCATGGTGCGAGATTCAAAACCAACCAAAACCAACTTATAACTATTGTTGTTGTTTTTTTATGCACGTAAAATCTTTCAGGAGCAGAGAATCATGGCGTCAAATGCTCTAAGCCTAATACAAGCCGACTTAAGAAAATCTTGGGATGAAAACAATACGTAACCGAATATGCGGCAAGTTAGAAGAATTAGTTATGTAAAATGCATAATTTACTCTTTTTTTATATTATGTTGTTGTAATAAAATTACCATGAAACTTTCATGTTTACCTTGAAATACCCACATCTCATCACTCGTTGCATTCGGCACCATAAGAAAAATTCCAGTTAAACTGTTTGGATCTGTACTTCGTTTGCTCCTAAGTTGAGACGGGGTTTTCCAATTCCGTTTGCCCCACATCCCAGAAAGTCTATTCCAGTCCCGTTTGCCCCACATTCCAGAAAGTCTATTCCAGTCTCGTTTGCCCCACATCCCAGAAAGTCTATTCCAGTCCCGTTTGCCCCACATCCCAGAAAGTCTATTCCAGTCTCTTTTGCCCCACATGCCAGAAAGTTTATTCCAGTCCCGTTTGCCCCACATCCCAGAAAGTTTATTCCAGTCTCTTTTGTCCCATATCACAGGAAGCTTATTCAAGTCCCTTTTGCCCCACATCCCAGAAAGTCTATTCCAGTCACGTTTGCCCCACATTCCAGAAAGTCTGTTCCAATCCCGTTTGTCCCATGTGTCAGACAAGTCGTTCCAGCCTGTCTTCTCCAAGACTTCAGGGGGTTTGTCCAAACTCCTCTTGCTCCATGTTAAAGAAAGACCGTTCCATTCTTCTTTCTGGTGTTCTTTGTCTTTGGCCCTCAACAGCAAAACTTCTAGGGCCGGACTAATTTCGGAATTAAATCCCTCTGCCAGAACAAATAAGATCCAAATATGGAGAACAAATACGATTCCATTAGTGACTCGATCCATGGGGGCTGTAGACAAAGATCAATTTTAATCACTAGCAGAACTTGACCTGAATAATAAAAAATAAAAAAAAATTGCCGATTCAGCAAATATATTACATTATTAAAATATACAATTTTACTGTTTATTAAGGAAAATCACATCAATTTAATCGGATATTAAGATATTTTGCAAGTACAATTATTTAAATACAGTTATATAATAATAAGAAGAGGGTGAGCGTAGTATAAAAACAGTTAAAAGTGTTTTGTGACAGCAAAAACATGACCATGACTCTCTGTTATTCAGTCTAGCTTGATTAATCTGTTATTTAAGCATTCTTACACGTTCGTCGTAAGGTATGAGGCCCTTAATACTGCTTTAAACTTATATCTATCAAAAAGAAAATGACACTTGAGGTGAGAAAAGATTTTCCCAGATAAAATGCATCGAACAAAAGGTGTCGTTTTTTTTATCTCAAATTCTCTTTTAAGCCTTTTTTTTTTCTTCAAAAACCTATGAACGACGAAAAAAATGCGAAGAAAAAAGGCTTAACGAATGTTGAACAAAGAATTTAGTTTTATAGCCTGTGTACGTATAACGTTCGCTCTTCTGACTCGATACCCTCGAATGATACAACAGTGTTCACTCCTTTCGGCTTCAAAATGTATCGTAAAATGTTTTCAGCTGTGATTAATTTAGAATAAAGTTCATGGAAGAGACATTTTCATTTTTCACATATTTTAATGAAAAAAAAATCGCTTTTGCTCAGTTGAATTTGAAGAATTTCGAGTTTCATTTTTGTAATCTCTGATGGACATAAGAATTTTCAATTCCTGTCACAAGGTAGTTTCACTGTGCCTAACTTACGAGCTTGTGACTATCATGGGTTAGAAGGAGTTGTCTATATTTACAGTGGCACAGTCTGCGGACTTACAACGCTAGAAACCGGGTTTCGATACCCGTGGTGGGCAGAGCACAGATAGCCCATTGTGTAGCTTTGTGCTCAATTACAAACAAACAAACAAACTATATTTACAATGTTTCTAATCCACCGGTGCGTTATACAACCACCTTGTCAGTCCCGTGGAATTTTACAAAAACAAACAGGAACTGATAGAACATTCATAAGTAAATCGTAATTCTTTTTCGTTGTACTCGTATTTTAGTGGTATGCGGTGGCGAGCCGGTATCTGGTATCGAGAAAACGCTGGTCTATAAAATATGTTTATTTTATTAGTTGATCATCATGCAGCATTTACATATATGTAGCAGAGAGAATTTGAAACTTGGAATGAAGAATTGAGTAAAAACATAGCAATGGGTGGAAGTTTTTTTTTCGTTTGTTGTTAAGCGCAAAGCTACGCAATGGGCTATCTGTACTCTTGCCCAAGACGAGTATAGCGTTATAACCCTTCAGACTTACCGCTAAGCCACTGAAGGGCAGGTCACATTGCACTTGACTAAGTAATATGAAATGTTACCGTGGTGAATATTCAATTAAATCTATGCATATGTGTACATAAGAACTGAGACTTCACCAAACATTGACATATGTGTACATAAAAACTGAGACTTCACCAAACATTGACATATGTGTACATAAGAACTGAGACTTCACCAGACATTTACATATGTGTACATAAGAACTGAGACTTCACCAAACATTTACATATGTGTACATAAGAACTGAGACTTCACCAAACATTTACATATGTGTACATAAAAACTGAGACTTCACCAAACATTTACATATGTGTACATAAGAACTGAGACCCTACCGAACATTTATACCTGTCCCGCCCGTACGTAGAATGTTTGAAAGGAGGGGGGGGGGCTTCTAATTTGCGAAATCCAAATCCAACACATATTGTGCGAAACACAATCAGCATGCTACGGGAGAAGGGGGGGCTGGGAGTATGCCCCTCAGAAAATTTGTGAAAAATAAGCGCTATGCGATTAAATCTGGACGAAATTTTTCATGGAATATAGTTTCAACAATTGCGCGGTTGTTTACATAAGATCCACAAACATCCATTAAACATTAAATATCACAAGCAGCCGTGCTATAGCTATACAAGTATGATTTTTTTTACATTACAAAAAATAAGTGGTTCGGCCTACCACATCGAACCCCCCCCCCCACCTGCTTTGAAATACTGCTTCAGGCAGAAGCCCAGTTTTGGACACAGTGTGACCCCTCACATCGTATCAGAAAAACCGCTTTTCTTATAAAACTAAGTTGTTGTATAAGCAGTTTCTTATGAAAATACGTTGTTGTATAGGTTAGGTTGTATATGTGTACATAAGAACTGAGACTTTACTTTGGCTCCACCAAATGTAATTTTAGGTAACTGCAGGGAGCCAAAATAAGGGTTTGCAGTGTGAGTAATTAATCTTTACAGTATCTTCAGCCTTGTTTTCTTATTTTTTTTTATTGCTAGGTTTTTTAAATTTCTAATTTTTTTAAAATTCTTTGTTTGTCTTGGTCTTTTTTGTGTCTCAAGTATAGGCAAAGGTT